GGGGGATTGTGTGGTGGACAGTGGGTGGCTGGAGGAAATTGAAGGTTCAAGACAACGATGTCAGTTACATGGTCGCGCAAAGGACGCAGAAAGGACGCCGTCCAGTGTAAAGGGGGCTTAAGCGAAACACAAGTGAAAATAATTGACGAAGTTGATGCAGGGACTCAGCGGTAGACACGGAATGGGGATGGAGGTGGGGGGTGGGGGTGGGAGGGTCAGTGAACATGTGGGGTGTACAACAGGTGGCTGGAGGAAATAAAGGCTCCAAGACAACAGGTGTATCAATTTTAAAACATAATGGCGGATTCAACCCCACCTTCGCCCAAAAAGTCAATTTATGCAATCTAGGGTTTTCATTGTATTGAAACTACATGGTCATGTTACTCTCGGACATGAGCATACACTGAACAGGGCGGGTGCCATATCATCAAAACTACGATGAATGCAAAGATAACATAGAGGTCTACATAGGGGTAGCTCAGCTGATTGCACACCTCAGGTAGAGGTAACAATTAGGCAGACCAAACACATTAAAGGACATTCTAAAATTACTAACAGTGTAGTTCTCATCGACTAGGCTTATTACAGGCACAGTTATTCAGGCCATTGTTTTTTTTAATATCGGAAATGACACATGCTGCCTGTACGATCATCATCTTCAGTTGTCTAGCTCACATATTTCACGAACTGTTACCTGTGGGATATGTGAACAGGAAGTGGGGAGAGAGAGAAAAAACGCATGTTTAGTCACAACACGGGTCGATCATTGTTTGAACGTGTAGCCTCGATGGTTATTCTTTTATGTCGCATACAATGCTTGTGAATGACTTCACCCGCAGCTGGGGTTTTAACAATAGGATATTATTGCGCCTGTGCACAAATGTATTTCTGTCGGAATGCGCTGAAGCTCGAAAGTGTAATATATGTAATTGTTGGAAGTGTCGCCGTGGTCTAGGTAGGTTTATGAGGGGTAGATACCCTTTCTTATAAGACACGTCTTTTGCAGACAGGTTAAGAGACGCATGCAGTGTTTATAGCATTCAATAAACCTCCTGGACCTTTAGGCCGACCAAGCTGTGCTAAGATTTCTGTCCGTCGATAACTGAGCATGAAAATCCCCTCAGAGTTACTCCGAATACTGTCAGTTGCTGTGTTTGTCGCTATCATAGAGCGCAAATTAAATGTCTTACTCCCAAACAGGACGTCAGGTACGCTATCCGCCATATTTTCTGGCTCCACGTGAAAGTCGGGGGCGTTCATTCCTCACCTAGCGACAGAATGGGCTAAAGAAAGAATGCGCTGAAGCATCAGGTAAATTCTTTTCACTCACAGCATGTAGATTTTGAGGGGACTTGTAGTGTGAATTCTTGTTATCTTTGGAATAATAGGTTGCAGTTTATGGTACCGGTAGACGCTTTCCGGCTTATTGTGATGTTATTTATAATTTGTCAACAGGAGATCAAGTGGTTTGAAAATAGCGGTAGACCTTAGGTTTTTTTATTACATGTAGCGTTAGATTTACATGATTTAGTGCACGTGTCTGTGTGTGTGTGAGAGAGAGAGAGTGTGTGTGTGTGTGTGTGTGTGAGAGAGAGAGACTTTATTATCAGTAGTAACCATATACATAGGCAGATACTAGTATAACACAATTTAAGATGGATTATTAATATTCATATGTGGAAGTTTAAAACATTTCTTTTGAATATAGTAGAATGCACAAGGAACATTATATTTGTTCAAATTTAAAAATAAATTAGAAAATTAAAAATAAACAATTACCTGAATAACTGTTATAATAATAAAATATGAAGGTAACATGATTTTTTTTTGCTTTCAGATGAGTATACCCCGAACCTTTCCCAGACCTAATTCATACAGTGGGGTTTGTATAATGTAGTTGGAAATCTTCGTCAAGAAGGATTTATATAAAAGCCTGTCATCTTTTTTGATAGTTGGACATTTTTGTTAAAAAAGAAAAGACTGTCATCAATTTGGATAGTTGGACATCGTCGTCAAGAAAGAAAAGACTGTCACCAATTTGGATAGTTGGACATCTTCGTCAAGAAAGATTAATATAAAAGCCGGTCACATATTTCGATAGTTGGATATCGTCGTCTAGACGGATTTATGTAAAAGGCTGTCATCTGCTGGATAAAGGACACTTGGGAAGATTATCAGTTCACTGTATAGTTTAAGTTTATCAAACGTGATGACTTTCATTTGTTAGTCATTGCAAATCATAGCACATCATGTCTATAAAAAGAATATCCCTTTACAAAGTGGAACAACAAACAACTGAGGCATTTGCGGCATCCATCGTACTGGTACTTATGTAGATCTTCTGTCCAGCCATGACAATTAATATGAAGATATTGTTACAAAACGGCTTGATTGCAATCATCGTATCCGCACTCCTCTTTGGGATGCTTCTTTTAACAGAAACCTATAAAACCGTAACTTTTTCAAAGTTTATTTTACCACAGCCAATCTACGGAAATCATGACAAGAACGGATTTAAAAAAAGTCCAACGTTTTCAGGGAACAAAACAAAGATTTCAGAGGCACCAAAGGACGCTAAACTTATTTTATATTGGATTCCCAGTTCTTCTGGTTTTGACTACTTCGGGTTGAAAAGATATCACACCTCATTCGAAGGTTTGAAGTGTCCCGTGGGGAACTGCAAGGTGACGGAGGATATGAGTGCTGCCTACGATGCCGATGCCATCATTTTCATGGGTAGAGCATTAGGTAAAAAACCAGAAAAACGGAACCCCAAAACGCGCTGGATATGGACCAATCACGAGAGTCCATGTCACACGTACTTATCCAATGATTGGACGTTTAACTGGACGATGACTTACAGGAAGGACAGTGACATCTACAGTCCATACGGATTACCCCTCCTTGACGAAAACCACGATGAAGCAAAGAAAAGGGACTTTCTGTCAGTTGCCAGGAGCAAAACTAAATTAGCGGCCTGGGCAGTCAGCAATTGTAATGCTCCAAGTCAACGTATGGAATATGTGAAGGAATTACAGAAATATATGAGCGTGGACATTTATGGGAGTTGCGGGCCATTTAAATGTGGACGCGACAGGGAAGCTAAATGTGATGATATGTTTAACAAAACGTACAAATTTTAT